CGCTCAGGGAAGGACCTTTGCCACTGTAAGTAATGGAACAATTTAATAAACATGAGGCTGTTTGTTTTGGCCCTGGCACCTCCTTTAACGTCCTCCTGTTTTGGTGTCCGTCCTGCAAATTCTAAATTAGCTGACAATGCAAGGATTTCAGAAAACAAAAAGGGAAAAAGTAAATGATGGGGCACTGTTATGAATGGCTCCTTCCACATTTTGCTATGCTACCCTCCTGCTTTTATGCCGTCTTTGTTTTTGGAATCCCAAAGTTGTGGGTCGTTCTGAAAGTTATTTCGTTTTTCCCCTGTCCTTCATATCTCCCATGAGACCCCTTTCCTCAAATTTGAATTTACTTTGGGTGAAGTGTGCCACACCAGTAGCGCAGAAGGGTTAATAAAGCCACTATTTTTGTCAGTCAAAACTAGGGCATTTATAATAGCATCGGCTTGGAGGGTTTGATGTGGAAACATCTCTCAAAGAGGGTTTTTGTTTTGTTTTTTGTTTGGGTCACATTTCACTTAAGTTTTTCAAACACCATCTAAAAGTTTCCAGTTAATTGCAAGCAGGGTCTCTGTAGAGTACATTTGTATTTGCAGAGATGTGAGGAAGGCTGGGGCCAAGTAGAAGTTATCGTGTGTAGCGTACTGTTAGTTCCTCTGTCGTTCATCAGTATGATTCCATTAGAAAGATAGTTTGGCAGAGTCCACCTCTGCATAATTTCTGTGTGTGTGTTTTTTTTTTCCATCCCCTTAGGTCTGCAGGCTTCCTTTCATTAGAAAAGTTAATGCTGAGCTGTTTCCTACTTCTTTACTTTAACTCTCTAGCTTTACAAATGGTATTGTGGCATAATAGCAAAAATCTGTGAGAGGAAATCAGCGTTGCCTGGAAACAGCCTGGCAACGAACCTGTGTTCAAAAAGTCAGGAGAAGAGAGGAACTAAAAGGAATTTATCCTCTTAACCAGCAGTCATGGCTGAACTTCTGTATTTTTCAAACCATGGTGCTTTTGCTGAACGTTGGGTCTTAAAATATTTGATAAAAGTCTTGTAAATAATATTTTTGGTGAGCCTTAAGGTCACATCCTTATTTCACTTACCTGGGAATGACCACTGGGGCATTTCTGAATAGTACTGTGGTGTACTTCATTATATAAACTCTTTAGTTTAAAAAGTTCTCAGAACAGAATAATGAAAATCGAACAGCCTCCCACTTCAAGTTTTAAAAACTAAATTAAGCCAGTACCAGGGGTGGCTGCAGGGTGTGATCAAAAAAAGTGTGTCAGGATAAAAAACAAGCAGGACTTGCACCATTGTGTCTGACATCTTGACTTTTTTGACCATATCCTGTGGATACCCCTGCCAGCTTAGAAGGAGAAGGGGATGGGAGGAAAAAAGAAATCAAGATAACTCAGACACTGTTTCTTAATGTTTTATAGCTACTAAAATGGTTGGCTGTGGTGAAACCCCAAGGTATCATTTTACAAACCCTATTTATTCTCTTTACAGTGACCTTCAGCTAATTAGTGGGTTACATTTTATATTCCAAACATTGAGTTCTTACCTGAAAGGAAATGTTGGAATGATTACCTTGACACTCATGGTGGTAACCTGAGTTGCAGTTGATTAATAAGGAATGTGTCAGCCCTACAAGGTAGACCAGACTAAAAAACCAATATCATATAGGTCAGGATTACTTTTATTGGAACAGCTATAGTCATAGAATCTTGCAAGTCTGAATGTGCTTCCCACATCACCCCCCCCGTCCCTTTATCTCCATGGGAACTGGGGAGGACCTTGTCTGAGACTTTTCTCACATTATTTTCTTGGCCCGGGTTCAAGCCCTTCTTATCTGACCATTGCCTTGGTAGCAGCTCTTCCTTTTGTCCTTCAAGGCCATTCCCTATGTCCTCTTCATCATGTTTGACCAAAGTAAAATTTACATACTGGTGCCAACTTGAAAGGCTGCAAGAAGATCTAGCATCTATAATAGTACTGGGTATGTCTGAAAATAGTTTGCAAGAGATGCTTCAGACCATTGAAAGCACCGCATCTTTCTGCTGTTAATTAAAGCGGAGCTGTCCTTTTTGTGGCGTTTATTGCTTTATGGAGCGAAGTCATGAAAGTGACTTTTAAAGCAGTGGCTTCTCTTTTCACTCTTGCATGGAAGCCTAAAAGAAGTGGCTGCTTTAATAAAGAGCAGAGCGATATGCTCATGCAAGGTCCAAAGCATTACTTCAGAATAATTTTTGAAAGGTACAAAGCCTTAATCCAGAGTATGAGCAAATTTTTATGCCTGCACGCTTTACCATTTTCGGGCACTGTCTGGGTTCCATTTCCATTCCTCCTGATATTTATTTCTTTGGATCTTTTTCTTACTGTTTTCTTTGAGCCTGATGATATCTTGTAAATATTTGGCTTCTGCTTGGCGGCTGCAGTGCAAGGCCGCGGTGTTTGTGGAAGAAATATAGTATTTAAAGCGCGTGTTTCAGTCTCTGTGGTTGGCACTTACCCAGAGGGTTCCTCGGATTAAATTTAGTGACCATCAGGAGATTTCCAAAGAGGAAGGAGAAATCTGGTTAAAATGTGGCTGTTCCTGCTGTTTCTCTGGATCAAGGTGTAAGGAGGCTTACACATTTTAGTGCAAAATAATGCAGCATATTTGGGTTCTAGGATGCATGTTGTGAATCCAGCTACACTGGAAATTCTCCAAGACATCTTTCTCTGTCTCTTCCTCCCTCTCCCCCCTCCCCCAAGTCTCTGGCAGGCCAGGCACATTTGCATCTGAATGTGAAACTAGGGCACAGCATCTTTATTTATTTATTTTTAATGCAGGGTAATCAGGCTCCCTAGTGTGGGTATAAATAAGACCTGGGCTTAACCCCTTGCATGCACGGTATAATGGCTCATCTCTCAACCTCAGCAACTTGAAGATGCCAGCTGGGGAATTCTGGGCGCTGAAGTCCACAAGTCTTCCAGGCTGCTGAGGTTGAGAAACACTGGTATAGCGGAAGAAACTCCGTCTGAAACCCACGAGGGATCGCGAGTCATCTCCAGTCATCCTTTCAGCAGGCGTTTCAGCATTGGCTTGTCTCCTTTCAGTATGTAATTCTGCTTGTTGGGTTGGAGGCAGCCCAGAATTTCCTGGAGAGCCATTTGATGGGCGAAGAGTGAGAAAATGGATTGTGGTGAGAAAAGGATACCGTATCCCGGAGAGGTACATTTTGGAGCATGTGTATCTTGGAGGGAGGAAGTGGAGGAAATTGCTCATCTACCCATCTTTTGTCTTCGTGTTTTGGAAGTAGCTAAGTCAACATTCTGACAGCCATCCCAGCAGGATTAGGGAAGTTTTACTGTGGGAATGGCCTTAATGATTCATCTCAGTAAGGCTGTTTCTTTTGTGGCCTTTATTTATTTATGCTTCCGTGCGCAGCTTCAGTCCTGATGATTCCAAGTGCCTTATCTTTCCTCGAGTTTGTTTATAAGTTGCCATTATCAAGGAGAGGAGTGGGTCCTACTTAAAAGAAGCAAAGTGGTTTGTGTGACAGTAGAGTTATGCCAGAAGAAAACCCTCTGTGAGTCTATATTCTAATTTCAGCAGCGGGGAAATATCAAAGAAGATTAGAGATGATGCTGGCAAGGAACAGTGCGAGCAAGCGGAGTCGGATAGATTTGAGTTCTTTGCATGAAAGGGTGGCTGCTTTTTTGATTTTTGTGTTTGTGTGTGTGTGTATTAATTAAACATCAAAGCAATCCACATAAAACCCCAGCCAGGCCACATGCGGTGTTGCCTTTTTAATGCACCAACCCTTTGCTGTTAAATATTGTCGAGGGATACCTTTGTTTGGAGGGGTTTTAGCAATTGCTTTGAGAAGGCCCCGGGGGGTTTCCTTCCAGCCGTTTCCCCCTCCTTTCCTCCAACTTTGGGAGCTGCTGATCTCCTCCCCCTCTTCTGAAAGAAAAGAGAATTAAAAGGAAGAAGGGGACGATGGCAGAAAGGAACTTTGTAGGAACTACTGCTGTTGCTGGAGCAACCTGGTTTCTCAAAGGCGCTGCAGAGGCTTCAAGTGTTGAGCTCAGTGTTTGTCAACCTCAGCAACTTTAAGATGTGTGGACTTCAATTCCCAGAATTCCCCAGCCAGCCATG